AAAAATTTTATTAAAATTTTTGTGTATTTAAATTTTAATACAAAACATAATTTTTATCATAAAATATTACTTAATATAATTCAGATAAAAAAACAAATGTTTTAAAGAATTGATAATATCAATTTCAAGTCAATTTTCTTTTATTACTTAATATAAATAATCATTAATTATGCATATATTGTAATGACAAGCATGTCAAATAAATAAAAATATTTTATTAAATAAATTTTACTTATCAAGTGATTAGTAATTTATCATAGAATTTATAAAAAAATAAAAATTAGAACAAATCATTTTATTTTCTTCAAAAAAGATTTATTTAATTTTTTAAAAGTATAGGACCTATTTAATTTTTTTTCAAAAGTCACCTTACACCCCCTAGCTCCGCCACTGCTTATAACGTAATAATAAGTTCTTTGCCGTACTTAGTTATAGTTAGGCATACCTATAATCTTAAAATCAACTTCAAACTAGCTAGTACTTATTGTGAATAACATATTTTCTCATTATGGAGAATAAAATGCTTTCCAAAATAAGAAAAGTTGTTCAGACGAACTGCATAGTTTATAATTATAGGTGAACAGTATTAACAAATATTAAGAGGTTCATCCTTTATTAATAATTATAAATGTTCAATTACCTCAATGAGATGGTTGAATAGTTAAGAACTTGATACTCCAAGTTGAAAATGTTAAGTTCAAATCTTGAGTCGGGTGGAAAAGATTTGAAAATAAGAGAGGGTTATCCCCTTTTGTATAACCCATCATCAAATGTATCCAAAAAAAAAATAAATGTTCAATCTGCATAAATAATTTCACTTAATCAATAATTATAAAATATGCAATCTCCTATATTAACAGTTCTGCCCTAAAATAGATCAAGCCGCCTAGTTTCATGATCTCATAATCGATTGAATTTCTTTAATTCTTCATGGATTTAAGTTAATTTAAAATATACTTTGATAACCACAGAAAATATAATCCGTGATAATCATTTTCTGAATGACCCAAATACAAGACCTCTAACCAAACATACTATATAAATCATAATTCTGATGATAAGTTATTTTTATCCATCACCAAAATTCGCAAGAGCCAATAGGCTGATCAAGAACCTGATTCGGATGGACTAGAGACGTCTCGGGCTGCCGCATCGGTGAGGCACCGAGAACCCGCAAAACACCAACAGAATCCATCACGACCATGTTAATTTACAGCATCAGCAAGCACCAAGACTTTGATGCCCTCTCAATTCTCAAGTCGCTTTGCCACTTCCCCTATCTGTAATCCACCTGGAACCCACACCACCCCCTGTTTGGATACAAAAATTAGCTATTCAGAATATTCAAACAGATATTCTCCCACCTGTGATGAACCCAAGAGTCTCTCATGCTTGAGTTAATCCCTGCCTAAATATTTTGGATAGACCCCTCTCCTCGCGCCCCTCCCCTCACTATAAATATGCAACCCATCACCATTTCCTCCTTAGGAGACACAAGCATCAAGTGTTCTTCCTCTAGTTTCCTCTTGTATTTTCTTCTTCTCTTTTTCTCCTTTTACTTTAACTATGGAGGCTGGAAGATTAGGATGTTTTGGGAGTTTCATCCAAAGGTCTAAGCCATACATAGCCATGATTTCTCTGCAATTTGGCTATGCTGGGATGAACATCATCACTAAGGTTTCCCTCAACAGAGGAATGAGCCATTATGTTCTTGTAGTCTACCGCCACGCCTTTGCTACTGCGGTTATTGCTCCCTTTGCTATTGTGCTTGAGAGGTTTGTAGTTGAATTGATTCAGCGCTTGTTGATCATGGTAAAAAGGGTTATGATCAAGTTCTGATTTTGATTCGGTTTGTTTTCTTGTTCAGGAAAGTTAGGCCAAAGATCACATTCCCAATTTTCATGCAAATATTTGTGCTGGGTCTTCTTGGGTGAGTGCTCCTTTTAATCTCATCCACCATGGATGTTAACTTAATAGTTCTGGAAATGATGGAATTAAGCTCAACACTCTTGGTATTTTCCGGCAGGCCTGTGATTGATCAAAACTTCTACTACGCCGGACTGAAATTCACCTCGCCAACCTTCTCCTGTGCCTTGAGTAACATGTTACCCGCCATGACGTTTGTCATGGCGGTTCTTTGCAGGTATAATTACTCAGAAAGTTGATAAATTTCAAATACTAAATTCATAAGACCGCTCATAAAGAAATTGTTTTACAAATGGTTTTGGAGTATAGTTGTACTAAAAACAGGGTTTTGTTTTCTGTGTTGGGATTTGAAGGATGGAGAAAGTGGACATGAAGAAAATA